TTTCCTCCATAGATTTTGAGGGTCCAGGGAAGGTGTTTGGAGGGAGGGAGGGAGGGAGGGAAAACTTGATGCACTAGAGTTGAGTTGAGTGCATTTATGTTGGCCCGTAATATATATAGAGGATTTCAACTTTCCCAGAATTACGTAACTGGCAATGTCTGGGCAGGCAGACATTACAGCCACCAATGACCCGTTAGCTCGAGGAAGCACACTTGTATGTAAGCCTTGGATTTGATATAATGGCATAATCAATTGTAGGACATCAGTGGGGAGAGGAAATAGCTTCTCTGTTTCCAAATCTCTCTCCGCTTATATTAGAATTTAAATCTGAGAGTTTTAGCTTGTAATTTGAAACAACATATTGAAATGATCAAAAACAAAATTAATGTAGTAAATCTACAACATTTTAATAAAAGAAAGTCAAGTCCTTTCCTTTAAAGTATTCATCATCATACAATTATTTTCATTCAAAATCAAAAAAAATTGTTAAAACAAATTTTAAAATTTTAAAAATTAAGTCTTAATTTGAATAGACAAAATCTCTTTCACTCAAAATATAAATTATTAAGAGGCTTTAAATGAAGTAGAAAAATTAAGAAATCTTTGCAAGTTAACAAATTTTCAACTTGTAGCAATTCAATTACATACATTCTACAACAGTTAGGGGTATAAAAATTCAAAACTACAATATTTGGAGATATTATTAGAAAGATACAGACGCCATAAAAGAATAAAACCCTTAAGCTAGAGGTTGGGCTAGGGGCCTGAGGCCCAGGCCCCCTAAAATATTAAAAATTTTCTTTAGGTGTAACTATAAAATAACAAGTTACAGTACATATGTTAATTATTAGGTAAAAGGGGCAAACCTAAACTTATTTGTCAATTATTTCATAATTTATGACCTAAACCCACATTTTTTTCTCCTAATTCAAAATATAACTTGATTGTTCTAACACTTTTTCATTTAATTAAGATGTTCTTTTGTAATATGATAATGATGAATTATATAAAAAAAATTAGTTTTCTTTCTTCAAATTTCTTCTCATTCAACTCAAAATTAAAATTTAAAATCTTTAATTAACATCTCAAACTTTTAATGATGGAGTCACTTCTTGAATTTTTTTTCTTTTACAATTACTAATTATTGTAATTGATAATTGTTTTTGACTTTAGACCTTTAATTATTGATTTTTTAACTTTTAATATTCTTAATGATAATTGCTAATTGATTATATTTTTTGATTTTTAGTTTATTTGGTGAAGAGGCTCCGAGTGCTGCGGCTGCTATTTGGAAAGGGGAGGATGTAGGAGGCAGGTGAAAAGTCTAAAGGCTGCTTCTTGATGGGCTGAGCCAGGTAGGGACGTTGCAAGGGAGCGGCTATGTGGGGGAGGAAGCTTGGTCTCGTACGGGAATACCACCAGTTCAGGGTGGCGTAGAACGCTGAGGAAAGAGGTTTGATAGAGGCGAAAGGGATGGAAGACATGGGCATTTGCGGCATGGGATAAGGAGGTTGGCAAAGGAAGAGTGACTGATACGGGGATAAGCCATCCTCTAAGAGGCAAAGAGCAATGGTGTAGGCTGTCATATGTAGAAAATAGAAGAAATTGAAATTATGGGCAAGGCCGAGGAATTTCCTGGAAGCTATTTAAAGGATAATAAATTTTCAATATTAATGCAGGTGGCTTCATAGAACTGGCATAATGTCCAACACAAGAATTTCAAGGCTGTACTCAATAAAATTCCTAAACAAAAACCCAAAAATTGAGAAGAAGAGGAATATGGATTGTAACTGTTTGTTGTATTGCTTAGTGTATACCAGGGTGTTACCCAAAGCTTTGTCAGAAGGCCCTATATATTGGGCCTTCTACGAGAGACGTAAGCATTATACTTTTAAAGGCTATTAAACACTCTATATATATTTTTAACATAAGGATATGATTCAAATCCACACTTACCATCACATGAGATGTCCTTTACACTATATATGTGGTCACTTTGGCCACTAAGACTTCTAGGCTAAACATCATTTTTTTTTTTTTTTTAACAGTGTACAACTTTGAGGGGTGAGGGAAGAGGATTTTCAAAAGTGTTGGTGGGACTCGAAACCCCAACCAACAAGCCCAAACGTTTTAAAATTTGAGATTGAACCAGTTGGACCGAAAGTCCTAACTCATCTTAAACACGATATTTGAATATTTGGGAGTTACAAATATGTATAGATATTTAAAAACCATACTGTAATGGTCAACTACTATTGATACTGTAGAAAAACAATAGCAATTGATTCTTTTCATAAGGTTATTTATTTATTTATTTTTATTTAAACAGGATAATTTAAGAAAGAAATAATGGGACATGTGATATTTCAACACGTAATTTATTGGAAGTGATTCTCACTTAACCAAAAATCTTGACTAACTAAACCGGGACATGGAGATCTTTTCAGAAAGTTCATACTTAGATAAATGCTTTATTCAAATTTTAATTTCAAAATAGTAACGTTTGAACTAATTTATATTGATTTTAAACATTCACAGTATAATTTATTGATTTTAACATCTAACTCAATTTGAAAACTCATAATTATGTCTCTTAAAACTCATTAATTAAAAAAATTAATCTCATAATTAATATTAGGTTTGTCTTAAGGAGGTTAAAAATATATTAAATACATTTTTTCATTATAAATTTGTATTAAAAAAATAAAAGTTAATATTTAATTTATTAATTATCTAATTAAATTCATTTGACACTAAAATTAATATCAACTTTTATATTTTTTTATGCACATTTATAATAAAAATATACAATAAATACAATCTTATCTTGTACCCTAAGGGTACAAAATAGAAAATTCCTTAATATTATGAGAGAATATACATGACAAATTAAATCATTGAAACTCATTACTTGTTTAAACACTCTTCTAGTTAAGGCTTACAAATATTAAAAAAATCAAATTATTAATAATAATTTATCTCTACACTTATATATCATATTTCACAATTATAATGATTTGGGCGTTACAATCTCCGACACCCAAACACTTATATCTTCATCAAGTCTAGCATCACAATTTCCCCTACTTAAACGTTTATGAGTTGAAATCCATTAAAAAGATAGGCTATCACCAAACAATAACCTCATACATGGTGGTACAACCCTCCATGGGTATAACAACCAAAACTATCCTCTAATGAACTGATACCAACAATAACTTATTGTCATTTACAACACCAATATTTTTTTTATTCACAATTATCTCGAATTAATTTTTATTTAAAAATAAATAAATTCTTTTCTCACTTTAACTAATTGTTATCAATTAAATTTAATTCTCCACCTAAATTTTTCCTAATCCTTATTACTTTTTGAAGAATATTACGAGAAAAAACATCAATTGTTTTCATATTCTTAATTCTAAAACAAAATAAATAAAAAAACAACTATAAATATGGTACAAATTTGTGATGCACTATTCTAGGTGTAGGTTTTTCCTTTTTAATTTTTACAAATCCAAAAATTTTTTATCTTAAATTATGTAATAAAAACAACCCTCTTTTATTCCTTAACACACCCCATTTGCATGTCATATATTTTGAACTTAAAATCTCTTACTTCCATAAGACAAAAATTACCATAAAATTACTTAGATTATTGGTAAAAAAAATACAAAATATTAATTACAATTTTAAAAAATATATAAAAAATTAATTAAAAATCATAGATTTACATATTTTGATAAAGTAATATATGAAAATGGTCCATGACAAACAAAGCCTAAGAAATCTTCTTCCCTTCGATCCTTACAGTTCCCTCAAACCAATCAGACTCTAATCCTTTTAATTTCCCTTAAACCAAGACCATTCAATGCCTATGAAACTATATTCTGATAAGCAAGTGGCCCTTCACATTGCATCAAATCCAATCTTCCATAAACGAACAAAGCACATTGAATTGAATGCTCACTTTATTCGTCATTGGATACAATCACGTGCAATCACTCCTTCTCATATTCCCTCCAAATCTCAACCTGCAAATATATTCACAAAGGCTTTTGGAGGAGACCAATTTCAACTTCTTCTTCACAAGTTGGGCATTTCAAATTTGCATGCACCAATTTGAAGGGGGGGGGGGGTGTTGGATTTCATGTAAATGGATTTATTTCATTAGTTGTCTAGTGATCAAGGCTTATCCCTTGAATCATGTCAGCAGCATTCCTTTCCTATATTTCTTTTACCATTGCCAACGGTCATCTTCTCCCTTTCCTTTTATGTTTTTCTTATCGTTAGCATACTCTTTTATATAAACTTGTATTCCATTCATTGAATAGACAGAGGGAAATGTTTATTTTTCAAAGAAATAATAGGATGGGAAGAAGAAGAGGAGAGAAATCAAACAACTACTACTGCAATATTCACTTGTCCAACATTAAGGATATTAGACTTGTATAAATTACCATAATTGAAAAGAATCTACTTAGAAAAAGGAGCAGTGGTTTGTAATTCTCTCAATTCCATTACCATGTAAGGTTATCTAAAGGTAAGGAGGATTCCCTTTTGTCTTTGAAGAGAAAGTAGGCAACCAACTTTTCCTGTTCCAAAAGATATCTTTATTTTCAATCCAAAAAAATGGCGAGAATCGGTTAGTGGGAGAATCCTGATGATGGGAATGTCCTACCTTTGCTCCAATATTATGATGTTTTCTAAGTCTCATTACTTGCATTCGATTCTCGCTCTCTGGTATTTCATAAATAAATATTTCTATCTCTTTTTAAACTATCTTTGGTTCTTAAATAAATCTAATTCTTGGTACTAATCCTGTTTAGTGTTAAGGGTTAATCTTGGTTGATTTGCTATTAAAATTTTTATCTCCCTTAATTGGATGCTAATTCCTTTTTAATTACTCACAGTGGTAGCACTTGGGCACACATTTCTTATCGGTCTGTCGAGTTTTGAAAGTTTGTATGGCAACTTTATCAACAAAGATGAATTGAATGCTTTCTAATGCCCACCCCAGGTATATATGTCATATTCTATAGAAGGAAGCAATTTTTTTTGGGTTTTTTTAATTAGTCTAAATGTCACCTATTGATAACAAGTGATATGCATGTTGCACGATTCTTTTATGCTGCTTCTTTGAAGCTAAGTTAGCCATTCGAGTAGCCCGCAATTCATATTATGATTCTTATTTGTTTATCCAACTATTGGGACTCTGTTTTCTCCTTATCATGCATCTTATTGAACTCGAACCCATCTATGTTGATAACAAGAGATATACATATTACAAGGCTCTTTAATACTGCTTTGAAGCTTAGTCAACCATTTGAGCAAACCCTCCGCATCTGGCTTAATGGAGGTGATGTGAATGGATATATTAGTTGGTATAATTCGCTTTTTCCTTTTTCTAGTGTTGGTTCAATGCACTCCAAGAGGGGGGTGAATTGGAGCTCAAAAATTTCACCTTTTTATAGCCACCAAACAAAAATAAAAGAGAGAGTAGAGAATAAGAGCTTGCACAATGATTTTATAGAGGTTCGGTCCAACCACCTGGAGCTTAGTCCTCTACCTTGGCTTCACTCACCAAGGATTTCCTCCACACTGTCCACTATCAAGAACAAGGGTGCCTTAAAGGAGGCACTCACTCCTTTTACAAAAAATGAGTATTTCTCTCAAACCTCATCCCTTTACAAGACAAACCCAAAGAATCCTATCTACAAAACACTCTTGAAGGAATAGTCACACCCCCAAGATCACTCACAAATAGAACAAGAAGAGGATTACAAGCAAAAATCACGCAAAGATTAAATTCTCAAGTTAAAGTACAAGTTGGTAGGTAGAGATATTCAATACAATGCTCTTTAAATTTGTTCCAGATCTATTACCAACCATGTTTATAACCCCTTGCTCGGAAATAGTCGTTTATAGCCGTTGGGGGTCATTTAATGCTCTGTAGGATGTGCAATTTGGAATTGCAGAATTGTCAACATAGTCGGCTTAAAAATCTATAGCCAACTTTGTAGGTTTCCTGCACATTCTATTTTTCTTGAGAGTCGACTACAAAAATGTAAAGTTGGCTTTGGGATTTTGACTTTAAAAATATTAAATAATTTTCAAATAACTCGATTGTTGTGCATTAAATGCACCATCATAGCCGGCTGAAAGTTAAAGCCAACTTTGTGTCTGTTTTCCACGCACGCCAAACAACGGGCTTGAATTTTTTCTGCTGCAGAGCCGGCTGTAGCTCTTGGAGTGGACTTTCTGCAATTTCACCTTTTAGAGCCAGCTCTCTGTAATTTTGCCTTCTAGAGCCGGCTACAGATTCCTTTAAGCTGGCTCTCTACACAATGTCCAGCTTTTTTGGTCCATTTTCAGTGCAATCTTAGTTTAATTACTTTGCAATCTTTTAGCACTTAAATGAACCAATTAGTCACTCAAATGTGTTTTGTAATCATCAAAATCATAGGTATACATCTAGTACTTTGAGTATGATTATCCCTTAGATGTTCATCAATGGGAGAGTTGGATCACCAGAGAGTTGAAAAAAATGAGTTTGCTTCATTTTAATAAATATGCCTAGAATTGGAGTCCTATCATTGATACATACATGATAATGTTTTCTAAAACATTATTTTACCATGCAGGCCACTAAGTACCAAAACCTATAGAGCTACTCTATGACTGAAACTAGGACAAAAATAAATATCCATTTATCAATCTTAGAGGTTTGTGTCACAACAATCAATGAAATTAGTCTGCACATCTTTATGTTTCTCATTTTAGGCATACATGAACATATTGAGCTTTGATGATATATGTGTCATGGGTGGGTCATCCATAAACCATTGATTATTTTGATAACATTGGTTTGCTAGAATTAGCTTTGGACGTATTCTGTTGCCATACTGCACCAAACCAGCTCTAGCTTAAAGCCAAACAGGTGTGTGCCTTCAAATTTGCTAATTGGTGTGAAGAGTACAACAATGCCATGAACAATCATTGATTATAATAGAGATATTTGACATTTATGGCCTATCCTCCTAAATATCTCATTATTAGCACATCTTCATTTGTTGATCTCAATGGCCAAGGTGTTGAGTTGCTTTGGAAGGAGATTATCATTTATCAACATATACATAGTAGCGCTACTTCTCTAGAAATGAGTTCTCTAGCGATCAATTATGATTTATTTTTGACAACTATATAGTGTCATTTTGCTGGTAAAATGTTATTATGGATTAAGAAGGATGAGCTTTATAAGAATCCTTGGAGATTTTGACCCCTATTACTCTATATATACAAAACAACTATTCATGTTCAATCTCCATGCAAACATTAGATAAGGAAAATGGAAAATCTGTGAGTAAGAATGGCAATTTGAATTTTCATATGGTACATTATTGTTCTTGTTTCTTTTCTCTTCATAATTTGCATGTTTTTCCTTTACAATGATTCCATCTTGATGACATACAATTACAATGTTTCTTCAATCCTTCATATCTACAATTAGCTCGTCAAAGGTGTTTTCAAGATATGGATTTATAGTTACATATTTAAGCTTTTCTGCTCATCTAATGTTTCTCTGCTTAAATCAGAGAGACCTTGGACATACTAAATTATCACTCAACATCAAGTTTTTTCTTTCTTTCCTTCTTGTATTAGAATGGGATGGTTGCTGTGACAAAACCAAGATAGAGGTTCAAGTCAGGAGACTTAAGCATCTTCAAGCTTGCATTAGGACTTAATTGGGAAACACATGCTGTCATTTTGTTAAGTTGCCACCACATAATGGATTGAACGTTAAAAAATTGTTGATAACGTTTTGTGTTGTTGAATTAAGAGGCTTGAATGCTGCTGTTAAAAGTAAAATCGCTATTGTTTTGATGTCATCCGATCTTTTTTATTGCCTCATCATACTAGTGAGGACTAACTGACATGCACCAATAATATGTTGCCAAATTTTTGGATGGACCAGGCAGGAAAAGATTGGTTGTCTTAATGCTAGAGATATTGCTTGTGCTGTTATTGAATTAATTTGCTATTGATTTCAAGCTTACAATTGCTGAAATTAGTTTTGTTTAAACTGTTGCTTTGATTGCGTAGGCCTTGTGAGTTTGACTTGTTTTAAGATTCATGTATGTGTAGATTAATTAAGGTTTTTTAACATATGACCTAAAAACTATAAGTTTAGGTATAATAAATATATTTTTTATTATAAATTTATATTAAAAATAAAATAAAATTTTAATTTATTAATTATTTAATTAAATTTATTTATTTAAGATTAATATTAAAATTAAAATTAATTTTTATTTTTTTTAATTTTTATATGTTTATAGAAAAAGGCACCCTAAAACATAAATTAACAAGCTCATGGATAATGTTGATTGACTTGTTCGTATGCAAGGTGTGGAGGAAAGAATGATCATCTTTTTCCAAAGCGTATCCGGTGAAAGATTTTTGTTGAATTTAAGAGGTTTTCTAGGCATTACATAAATAAAAATGTAAGGCTGTTTCCATGAGCTGCTAATAGAAGATTCAGTTTTTAGATACTATTTATATTTTATGAATTTAAATTTTTTTAAAAAAATTTATATTTTTAAATATTTTTTTAATTTTAAGGTTTTTTAAATATTTTTTTAACTTTAAAAATACTTTAAATAGTATAAATTTAAAAGTTTTAAATTTAAATTTTTCATAAATTTTTTTTTACTTATTTTTTATTTTTTTTTTCTATCTCTACAAATAACTTTTAAATTTTTTTTAAATAAAAATTTAAATTTATCACTTGTAATAATACTCAAACAGTAAAAATTCTCATAAATCACTCCAAACCAAACAGGCCCGTATTCTTTCAACTACTTTTGCCGACAAAACTTTCTTTTACCCATATGGATGGGGGGCTATCAATCAACCTGCTTTTTCTAAGGTTAACATTTTCCAAGAAACCTTGCGCCAAAAAAAGAAAAGCATTTTTTAAGAAACCCTTTTTTTTATCAGGGCAAATTAGCCGCTATACTAGTAAGGTTGTGGCATATCAACCCCTCTACTTTTTTTGGCTGCAACATACCCCCTCTAACCCATGCAAACCGTCCCTTTTTTAGCGGCTGACGTCATCAAGCAGTTTCCTCCGTTGAATTTAAAATGTTAAATGCCAATTTTCACTCTTAAACTTTTAATTTAAAGCAATTTTAATTGTTAAATTATTTTATATATTTTTTAATCTTCAATTTTAGAAAAATGCATTTTTTTTCCCCATACATCAATTAAATCACATGTGGACGTTAACCTAAAAATGACAATTTTTTTTGTATGAAATGGAAATGACATATCGTATAATCAACTTACATGGCCAAAAAAAACAATTGTTTATGGTGTAAAAAAGATAATATGACAAATTAAGATAACCCTATCTTTAATTATTTTTTCATTATTAAGACATGTGGCCTCATTTTTAATTAAAATCTCACTTTATAATTTTTTTTCTATAAATCTCATTTAATTAAAGAGAATAGTGTATGATGAATCGTCCTTCCAAGTTCTTTTTAAAAAACTTGTCTAAAAGTTTACCTTGTAATTAATATTTTAAAAAACTTACTGTTAGATTAAAAATTTTATTTATGTAGATCATATATATCAATTTTTATATTGATGTAACACTTATAATCCTTTAATTAAAAAAATTTATTTACTAATGTTTATTTAATAGTGTTAAATTTCCTATAATCAATAAAGTGATTAAGCATACTAAAAGAATTTGAAAATTGGCACGTATTATTTATATGAATAAAATTTCTAATTTAATAATGGTTAGTTTTCAAAAATATTAATTAGAATATAAGATTTTATACAAGTCATCTAAAAGAAATTTAGGAGAATGGCCTGCAAAATATTTTTCCCTTAATTAAACTTATAACAATTAAATCAACAATTAACCCAAATCTTCCAGATCAATTTGCAGAACTAAAGGGTTGGAATCAAATCATAGCTTAGCTTCGGGATGTGTTGCAAATGCCATTTTCCTTTATGCTATTTTCAACCCCTATAATTTTGGTATGCAAAGGGATTAATGGAAAATACCTACAAAATATAATGAAGCCTTGTTAATTACATCTTGCACTGATGAAACTGATGCACTAAAATCACCTTAGCAAGTATCCTAGTCGCTCCAAATAATATAATGATGAAAGAGTATCGAACCCACGAGGATTGTGTCTAATTAAGTACCAAAACAATTAATCTAAATTTATTTGAACAATAAAAAAGATGGAATTTTAATTAAAATACAAAAAGAAACTAACAATTAAAATAAAACTAACCAAGATATGAAATGCTAAGGCATTGATTTCACCATAATCAATCAATATAAATTATGGATGATGGCGGATTTCCTTAAATTAATTAACTAGCTTTCTCAAGTCAAGTTAATCATTCACTGGTTTGTTAAATTAATCATATCTCTATGTAATTTTAAACAAACTAATGAGCATTAAATTCTATAGAAACCTCTAATTTAAGAAGGGGGAGCTCCTAACTCTCTTCTCTTCCTCCACTACCACATGTGAGCTAATTACCTCTCGGTCTCATAGTCTAGCACACG